AGAGTCAGAACAGTCACTCCCCCAGAAGAGTGGGGGGTGACCAGCAGTAGTCAGACTCCTTCTCTCATCGAAGAGGATGCCCCATTTCAAAACACGCGAAAGTCTGGGAAAAACAAAACAAAAATATGGTCATGGGTACCGACTGTGCTGACGAGGGTCAGCATTAATTTTACTGAACTGGGTTTCTCTACGCATTTCCGACGTTATTCATCCGTTTAAAACACACTTTAATATAGTAAAACGCTGCATTTTGCCCCAGTGTGTTTGTGTATGGTTCTCACAATAAACAGCATTAACCGGCTGGGCTTTGTAGCTGTGACGTATTGCACAGGAGCTTAAATTTTAAATATACATGGATTTCAGGCTTCAAAAGGTTAACAGGCCCATAATTTCCTTCACATTAAACCCGGTGCCCCGGGCCATAAATTCCCAGAATGCCTAATCAGCGAGACACTAAATTCCATCGAGCGGGCACAGAAATTCCAAAGAATGGAATCCAACTAACCGAGAGGCAAGACGCTCTCTTGTTGGCACACGGCCCCTTCTGCTCCCTACAGCACGATCGATCTGCAATGGCAGTCACGTGACCACGGCCCCCTGTTCCTTCCCGATATATTATTGGGGTAGGCCCGTGCAGTATCACCAGGCTGCGAGGCGTATGATTCACACCAATCCGAGAATCGCTACAACACTACGAGACACATTAAAATGGAAATTCCCATTCCCACTCGCAGTTCTGCCCCCCCCCCCCCATGGTACACTCTCCTGCAGAAACTCAGACAAAATTAAAAAAGGTAAAGGCAAAGTCGTCCCTGTGCTTAATTAATACAGCACCGTGACATGAAGACGTCTGGGGGAGCGGAGATGTAGCTCCACCATTCTCGCCCTCGGAATGAGATGGAGGTAAGCGCTCAGCTTCAAACTCCTATCGTTCTACCCCGGCGAAACGTCCGGTACCTATTGGAGAGGAGGTTGGTTGGGCCCCAGAGCCGGTCTGAACGCTGTGGGGTAGGGAAAAATCTTGCCCCTGCCGGGAATCAATCCCCGGCCGTCCAATCCGTAGCCAGCTGCTATACCGACTGAGCTATCCAGACACTTTTCAGTACGCGGAAGAGAGAAGTTGGAGACAAATTTGGGCAAATCGGGTCATCTCACGTCCCATGGGATTAGATTAACAGACGGCAATGATACGATAATGTGACTAATACAGTACACTGCTCAATACAGCCGAATGCAACAATGTCCTAAAGATAAGTCATCGCGAGAACAAATGTACAGACTGCTTCCGGCACAGTCACGCTGTGATTCTGAGGCAGGAAACTGCCTTCCTTGTGAAACAACAGTTTACGGTTCAATCTCGATACGTCACAGCCCTCTGATGCCCGCAACCCCAGGGCAGAGACTGGGGGGGGGGGACAAACCAAGCAGTCAAATTCGAGCATGCAAGTTATCTGGGGCCTGAGCAATGCCAACTAGCCTGTATGTACGGTAAAGAAAAAGGTAAAATTGTCCTTGTGTCATGAAGACGTATGGGGGAGTGGATGTATAGATCCACATTTTTCTTGACCTCGGCACTAGTTGGAGGTGAACGAATTGGTTTGAGACACGTTAGACTGTAAACGTTATGAACAACTGTAGACAAAAGCCATGGAATTGTGATATTCTGGTACAGCCTACAGTAAGGGTCACGAAGCACGGAGCATGATAAAACAAGATAGACATATTGCAGACTTTCACCTGTCGTCACGCGTGTAGCATCACGGAATTCTGACACGGCGCTAACTTAACAAATGACTAAACTGCAAACCTAGTTACGTAAATAAATAACCAGAAAGCACGTGAGGTGCGACGTCATGGCGGTGAGTGCATCAAGATTACTGATAACTAGAATGTGACGTCATGTACCAACGTCTCGGAGCAAAATGATGCCTCCAGCCTGAAGACAGAGGCAGCAGGTATCTCCGAAACGTTAGTACCTTTCCAAGCAATGCTGAACAACATATACTGCGTGATTAGGGGCTATTCTGAACTTCAATTTTCTTTGTTTTCCTCAGAGCCTCCAAGACATCTTTATTAACACGTCCCCCTGGAGAAGCATCCGCCGCCAGCGTTCCTTGTTCGCGCCTGCAGGTTCCCACCTCCTACCCATAGCCATGTTTTCATTCTAATCACCGTGCGATCTGGCTCAAGAAATGAAGCTTCTGATTTGTATTTAGGACATTCCCGGTTCGAACCCCGGCTGTCATGACTGAGGTTCTTCATGGTATTCCTCAGTCCCTCCAGGTTACTATCTCAAATGAGCAACGATCGTTTCCTTCCACATGTTTCCAATTCTTTATTCATCAACCACCCGCCTACTTCATTCTATACAGCCGGTATAGCGACGGGTTGGACGGCTCGGGTTCGATTCCCGTAAGCGGCAAGAGATTTTTCTCTACTCCACAGCGTCCAGATCGACTCCCGGGCCAACCCAGCCTCTTATCGAATGGGCACAGGAAGCTCTTTCCCCGGGGGTAAAGCGATTGAGGCGTGAAGCTGACCACTCACCTCCAACTAGAGCCGAGGCCAAAAATGGTGGAGTTATACCTCCGCTCCTCCATATGTCTTCATGGCGTGGAGCTTAATTAGGCACAAGGACAGCTTCATGTTTTAACAGTATGAGCAACTGTCAGCGACAATAACTCGACAACATGACATCAAACAGCATGACGACTGGTGAATAATAACCGGGGAAGGATGTGAAAGGAAACGGTTGTAACCGGAATTTGCCTGGAGGGACTGAGTAAAAACCACGACATTCAGTGAGGGTAGCCGAATTCTCGGCAGAGATTTGATCCCGCGCACCTCCAGGACACAAGACAGCCGATACCGCTTCAGGCGGATTGCTCGGTCTGGGGTCACAGAATCCGATGGTCCATCACCGTCGTCATAAAAGCTCGTCCCTGTAAGCTGTCCTGACCCGACCCATTTCAACACAATTCTGGTTGGCACAGTACACTCCGCGCCTCCCACCTCCTCCTTAATCACGGAAGTCCTAGCTCTCTAAGAGATTTCCACATGAAATTTCTGTATACATTTCTTCTTTCCCAACCCCAGGCACACGGTCAGCGCCCAGACATTAGTATCCCTGCACCAGGCCGTGGAGGCCCATAGGGTTGTGAGACGTCGAGGCTCCCACATTTTCTAGACAATCGACATATGGGAACATAATTAAACGTGTATGCCTCTACCAGATAACACAAGTAAAGTTGCCCCTCTGCTTAATTAAGCACCACATCAAGAAAACCTATTGGGGAGGGAATGAACAGCTCCATATTTTCTTAACATTAGATGGAGGTAAGTGGTCAGTTTCAGGCACCGGCCGCTTCACCACTGGAGAAAGATGTAAACACAGTATACGAGGCAGAGTCTACCAGAGGAGACGGCATCGCGTCTTGTGAAGGCAGCCTTGAGGTGCAGTGTACAGCACATGCGAACATCAGCACTGGGGCCGGGAGAGTTCCAACTTCCTTCACTACACACAGGCTGGGCTACTCAGCTGCCATTCACGGGGGCCACACACCCACCATGTCCCCGTATGTGGTACACAGACTGTCTGGTGGAAATGGCAACCTGACTACAGCCATGGAAGCGTTTGTGACCTACTTCAACTTGTTCTATGCTCGTTCTTCCACACTATAAAACCCAGTGTTTCATTACCGTGTTCACAAAAGACCGTCAACCGTAACTGCCCTGTCGCAATTGGCTCCAGTCCGCAGTTCCAAAACAACTTCACTCAGAAGGGCACTACCTTCTGCGATATAACGCCGTGTAGTCCGTTGAAAGTTAACCGACGTTTCGGAAGAACATATCGCCCCCATCCTCAGGGTCGAATAACGGTAACAACACCACCGCATGAATACAGACTGAGATCATCCCGCCTCTCTCGATGAATCCCTGGCCATCTTAACTCTTCTGTGACTCTAACGCTTTCCGGACAATATCTTGCTATCAGTGGAGTACAGTAAGGCCTGTAATAAGGTCACTGCTTCGAACTTCATCTCATGCTCCATCTACATCATCTGTCGCGCCGCCAACATTTCCCCTTCCTCTTTACAGGCGCTGGAACCCTGTGTGGGCCTTGGCCTCCCCATGATCACTCTCTGAAGGTTTCGTAACAGTACGTATATTTCTATATTTCGTATATTTCTAAGGGGTGAGGTTGTTACCCTCACGCACAAACCCCAACCTGAAGGAACAGGATTGCGTATACATTTCGCCTTGCATGGGTGACCCTACCAGGAACTTAAGCTCCGCCAGCATAGCTCTCCGGGTCACTGGGACGCGCAATTCACGATCTGGCGAGGATGAACACTACTACTACTACTACTACTACTACTACTACTACTACTACTACTGCTACTGCTGCTGCTGCTGCTGCTGCTGTTAACTCATCACCTTTTTTTTCTCCTCCTTAAATAGCGTGACACACGCAACGGTGCATTTATGGCAGGCCTCACAAAGATAGCTCAGTCGGTATAGCGATGGGAAATGGGTTGGACAGCCGGGGTTCAATTCCCAGCAGGATTTCTCTCTTCTCCACAGCGTCCAGACCGGCTCTGAGCCCCACCCAGCCTATCCAATGGGCAAAGGAGAGACTTTCCGGGGAATAAAGCTGACCATTCATGTCAGTAATGGTGGAGCTATACCTCTACTCTCCCATACGTCTTCATGGCGTGGTGCTTAATTAATTAATTAAACTTCACCTTTACGTTTACTGGGTTAGCGCACGCCAAACTTTCCGTTCCATATTTAAAAATAAGGACAATGCTGTATAACATGAGTGCACCTCTTTCTGAAGTTACCCAGCTCCGTGCGCAGTGTCTGATCTAGCCGGCTGGAGGAACGTGAATGAAAGCAGGACGCAAGGCAGCGTCAGGCAGTGCCCTGTCCATACAGTGCGCACAACGGAGGACCAGCTAAAATAGACAGACTGTACTACTACAATTATGCGTACTCACCTCGTGTGCTCGTCGCTGCGTCGGCTATCTTCTGGAAAACGTCCAAATACGCGGCGATGGCTTGGATCGTCGCCCTGCAACAGGGAAGTCGCATCAAAACACGGAACTGCAGGCACCGAAACCCCCACCCGCCCACCACCTCGAGTTACGTCAGCACTGCTTGTAAAGTGCGGCTGCATTCCTTCTCACACGCCTTCTCCATTGCGGTATACACGGAGGATTTTTACTTTGTTGACCGGCTTAAAGGCTCTGCGCTTCACGGCGACAGACGCGGCACTTGCCGCCAGGCGCATGTGAATTTTGCCGATGAATCAGCATGCCTGGCGGCCGATAGCGTTTGGAATGAAGTAGTTACAATTCACAGATCACATGAAGTGTTGAAAATGTTATCCTCTCTACACGTAGACATCTTTGGTAATTCATTGTTTCGTTAAAAAAATACAGCTACGAGTATAACAGCACTTCTTGCACTTACAGCACAACAGACACCAACTTTCACTGTATGGAGTGGGACTTCGTGGGTTAGAGGTCGCTTCTGTGAACTCCAGTAGCGATTATTTTGCGTATTTATGTATTCCTGCAAGTGAAACCACGCTTCGTCCGTTGCACAAAAATACACGTTGATCTGAAGTATACCGCTCCATAACGTACCACGCTGCTCACTAACTGTAATTGAAAACAAATGACTAATGGAGATGATAACTGCTGCCAAATCATAAACAAACTCTCGCACAAACCGCACTACACGCCGTGAAACATAATGCCGCCAAGCGTTCCACAAGTTAATTACTTCCTTTCATTCCAAATGTTATCGGTCATCGGGCACGTTGATTCATTGGGAAAATTCGTATGAGCCTCGACGCAAAGCGGCGCACATGTCACCGTGAACCGGTCAAGGAAGTAAAAAAAAAAAACAACTCTGTATTACGTCACTTATTACGGGAAATTCGGGTTCAACTAACACTTCACCTTATGCAAAATATTTTGAGAACGCAAATTGTGTAAGTCGGGGACTACGTGTGTTTCTTTATGGATTTACTGGCTCAGTTGGTATATCCCAAGTAAACAGCCCCTTGTACAGACTGAGTTAACAAGCTGGTTGAGCCCCAGAGCCGGGGGAAACGAACCCCGAATTCTTCGGCCTTCCAGTCCATCGCTGTCGCTGAAATGACTGAGCTCTCCCGGCTCATCCTCCGTTCGAGTAAGAGCCCGATTTTCAGGGGCGCATAAACAGGCAAAACTGTGTATAAACTTTTCGGGGGTACGGAATATGAGCATCAACATTATTTCAGTTAAACTGTTACTGACTTCGTGAAGACCAGTATCAGGCCGTATCGACGTCACAGTGGAGACTTCGCAGAACACGCAAGGCATGACGTTCCATCAAACACAAGTTCTAGATTTCAGCTTCGCTGAGGGTGTTTGAGAACAGGGTGTTGAGAATATTTGGACCGAAGAGGGATGAGGTGACAGGAGGTTGGAGAAAACTGCATAATGAGGAGCTTCATAATTTCTACTCTTCTTCAAGTATAATTAGAATGATCAAGTCAAGGAGGATGAGGTGGGCAGGTCATGTAGCACGAATGGGGTAGACGAGGAATGCGTATAAGATATTGGTGGGAAAGCCAGAAGGAAGGAGGCCACTAGGTACACCAGACGTAGACGGGTGGAAAATATTAAAATGGAGCTTAGGGAAATAGGATGGGATGGTATGGATTGGATTGATCTGGCTCAGGATAGGGACCAGTGGAGGGCTCTTGTGAATACGGTGATGAACCTTCGGGTTCCATAAAACGCTGGGAAATTCTTGAGTAGCTGCAGAATTGGCGGCTCCTCCAGAAGGGCTCAGCTCCATGAGTAAGTAAGATAATTTAACATGACAATTCCGTTTAAATTTTAAAGCAAAATCTCTATTTGTCATTTCCTACTTAACCACATTCAGTTTACTCTGAAGCACGAGCTAGTCTTTAAAGATACGGACAGATTTTACCTTAAGCGCCCCCCCCCCCATTGATGTTTAACAAGTGGCACCTGTCGCATTAAGACACTGAGTCCATTATTAATTAAGTCATGAAACTGTGTTTCCGTCGTGCTACTGGCATGCCAGACAAACGCAAGAGACAAGAAACACGCGAACACTGTGCGCCACATTTTCCGCTCGGCTCTCCACCCTCGTGCGCTTCTCCATATCATAATAAGATTAGGAGCTACATGCCTCTTCACAGCCCACTGATCTCTATGCATCCCCAGCGCTCCTGGCGGAGGCTACGTCGTCCGTGGAATCGGGTGCATCACGAGCAAGACTAAACTCGACAAAACTTGGTCTCTCTCCGCATCCCTCTACATTCATACGAATCCATTATTCGTTGCCATTCGAACACTCAAGCCTTGAAGTTTGAGCTACTGACAGCGTCGTTAAACAAGCAGAAAATAAATAAATGAACGTGATGAGTAATAGCTCCATGGAAAAGAGTCCTTCTTATGGCGCTAACAGTTGCTCATCCGGTCATCTGCGCGTCTCTTAACGCGCTCACAATGGAACCTACATTGGGCATGACCGTGAGATTTAGTCCACATCTTCAGGTCCTAGTTTCAGTCTCATATTGTTACTTACCTGGCAACGAATGGTCGCGCCATAGCTCAAGCGGTTAGTCGCAGGCTTCCCGATCCCGGGTCTGGTCAAGTGGGATTTGTGGTAGATAAAGTGGGGCTGGGGCAGGTTGTCTCCGAGTACTTCGGTTTCCCCTGCCAATCTTCATTCCGCCAATTACTCCACAATCACCCTCACCTATCATCTGGGGCTGGTACAATAGGCCAGAAGTGGCCGCAGTGCAAGGGACTTGGTTCCACCCCACTAGCAATAAAAAGCATACCTGGCAGCGGGGATAGCGCGATCCGTACAGCGACGAACTACTGGCCGGACGGGCGGGGTTCTATTCGTGAGAGGGGCAAGACTTTTCTGTTCTCCCTGGTGCCCACCCAGCGTCCTATCCAACAGATACCGGGTGTAAAGCGGCCGGGGCGTGAAGCTGACTGTTCATCTCCATCTAGTGCCGAGACCTCGAAGACACCATATAACTTAAAGGCATGTTGCTTAATTCTTTAAGCATAAGAGCAACTTTACTGTTTGCATTTAATATTCCCTATCCAATGTCGGATACAGGACGGAACAAGAGGCTGCTGATGTCCGCTGTCAGTGAACCAGCACTGCTGTATGTGATACGGTGTTCTTTCCAACGCTGTCAGTGTATACAACGTCGAATGGTAGGACTGGTGAATTGGAAAGGTCCCGGAAGGAAGTGGTCGTGGCATCTTCGGAAAAGTATCCCGGCATTTGCCTGGTGGGACTGAAACACGAAGAATCTCAGGTATGAGCGCCGGTGTCTCAGTCGAGGTTTCAGTGGAGCACCTCCCGTCAACACAATTCCATGGCAACTGGGTACGGCGGCAGGGGAAGGGAGCCACGAATCTGATTCCTCAGATCATAACACGAAGCCGGTGGGCAGAAAGATCCAAAACAGTGGGAAGAACTGGTCTGTATGCGGTAGAGAACAGAAATATCTTGCCTCTGCGGGAATCGAACCCCAGTTCTCCAGTTGTTCAGCCCGCAGTGTAGGCACTAAACTATCCCAGTTCCTGCTCAGTGAGTGGCGGCATCCCGTATCAAAATGCCATTTTGTGGCTCTGCTGTTATTCAACCCAAGGCCTGACAGACGTACAAAATAAAATCGAGCGCCGTTTCTTGCATAAAAAAGAGCTTATTATAAATTGACCTTTATTTTGTGCAAATGTAACATCCAACGTCTTTATTGGCAAACAAGGCCATATAGAAAGGGGACTGCGCCCGCTCTTTTCTCCCTTCAAACAAAACCGCCCTACTGAACAAAATGCCAAGGGAATGACATTCATTTCCAACTACAAAACTTCGAACTCCGCCCCACGTTCATGTGTGCGCTTCAGTTCAGTACACAGACTGTCACTAGCGTAGCTGGTTGAGGCACTATGAAGCCGGGAGGTCGGGGGTTCGATTCCCGATGAGGTCATTGGGTTTTTCAATTGACCTAATCTTACCAGCCGCACTATGTCTCTGCGGTCGACTCAGCCTCTAACAGAAATGAGTACCAGGAATCTTCCTGGGGAGAGGGGTAAAAGACGGGCGGCCGCCGCTTAAGGCTAACAACCGATTGTCCAAAAAATGTGGGAGCCTCGACGTCTCACAGCCCTATGGGTCTCCACGGCCTGTTACAGGGACACCTTTACCTTTACACAAACTGTAATAGAATACCTTCAAAGGGCGAAATGAAGCACTTCTTCTGGAAGATGAGTGAGAGCTCAGATGGTACAGTGACTGGAAATTGGGCTGGGCGTCCAGCGTCCAGATCTATCCAATCTGCACCGAGGGCTTTATATTTAGAGATAAAGCGGCCGGGAAGTGAACCTGGCAGCTCACATCCATTTGAAATGGTGAAGCTGAGTTTGGAGGAAGGTGGCAGAAGCACGTTTCTTAATCATCTGTACAGCCGATGGAGATACGAAACTTGGAACCGTACGGTACCAAGGAAGTGACTTGCACATTAGGCAACAGTGTCCTTCAGCAAACAGGACTACCGATGCAAGCCTCAGGCTATCCGAAGCGGCTGTCTTGAACAGTTCAGAGCGCCTTGCTACAACCAGATTTCAAATAATCGGCTACGGGCAGCGTTTCAAGAACAGCTAACACGTTTGGAATTAAAAAGTGATGGGGTGGAGGCTACAAAGGATGACCAGGATTGCATGTTACAGACTGACATAGGTAAAAGGCAAACTTATACCCTGTACTTAATTAATTAAGCGTCACGTCATAAAAACGTATACAGGAGTGAAGGTATAGGTCCACCATTCTTACCCTCGGCACTGGATGAAAGTGACTGATCAGCTTCACGCCCCTGCCGCTCTAACCCCGGGGAAAGAGGACCCACTGGATAGGAGGCTGGGTGGGTGCCACAGCCGGTCTGTCCAATTCAAATTTCATACACCGTGAAACCTGCATTTCTCTTTCAGCCTTACAAACTGCTGACGCCAGCCACTGGAGTAAAGCTGCCCTGTGCTCAAATAATTAAGCACTACGCCAATAAGGCGTATGGGGGGCGAATGCAGAGATCCATATTTTCTTGACCTCTGCATTAGTTTGAGGTAAGTGGTCAGCTTCGCATCCTGCGCTTTACCACCAGCGAAAGAGCCCCCGGTACCTAGTGGATAGGAGGCTGGGTGGACCCCAGGGCCGATCTGGACGACGTGGAGAAAATTCTTGACCCTACCGGGACTCGAACGGTCAAGCCCGTAGCCAGTCGCATCACCGACTGCACTATCCCGGCTCAATTATACTCAGGCGCTGAACACAAACGCGTTACAGACAACGGTACTACCCCAGTAAGAATAACGGTCAGACAACCAAAACCTGCCCCCGCTCTTTAAGAACAATATAGCCGCCAGGAGCTCAAGGCCAGGCCTCCCCGGAATACCAGAGGAACAAAGGATACATGTGAAATGGACAGCACATTCACAAAGGACATACAAAACCTGCAACTTCAGCTAGAACTAAACATGTTAACCTCACTCGCTCACTCACTCACGAGAAGCCGCCAGTTGTGCTCCACGAAGGTTCATTACCGTGTTCACAAGAGCCCTCCACTGGTCCCTATCCTGAGCCAGATCAATCCAATCCACACCATCACATCCTCTCTATAATCCATTTTATTATTGTCCCACCTACATCTTGGTCTTCCGGTGGTTTCTTTCCTTCTGGCTTTCCCTGGGAAGGATTTGGAAGGAAGCGGCATGGCACAGCATTTACCTGCAGGCACTGAGGAAAGGAACTGACTGAGGTTTTCAAGATTTTCCTCGGTCCCCCAGGCAAATGACCGGATAGTACCTCGACCAGGCTATCTTTCCAATTAATTGTATTGTATTGTATTTAGAGAGGGTGGGTTTTCCCCATGCACTTAGACCAACTGTTGGTCCAATGTGCGTCCCCCTGTGATATTCTACCAGTCTCTATTCCCTACCGGTACTGGTGCGTGCCATCAGTCCCGACTCAGCCAGCGAGTTCGGCCTCTACTGGCTCAGCTGTATCTCGATGCTTCCCCCATCTACCAGAGGCGCTAGAGACTACTGTTGGGTGGGAAATGTCCTGAATTTGGCTCAGTGGTCCCCTTGGGACATGAGGTTCCTTTACGTGACGTAAAGCTACGACGCGGGACACACGGCTTAAAGTCCCTCCCGGAGGACTCGTTCCCTACTCGGCAGTTATCCTACCAGTAGAGGATACACAGTCCAGCTACTGAGAGGCCCATAGCCCAGCAAACACACAAGGCCTGTAGGTATCGTAAAATCTTCTCAGGACTTCTTGCTATGAAACACAGAACCAACTGAGAATTCTTCCGGCCAACACCTGAAATCCTTAGCGTACCTCCGGAAGAGATGAAGGAAAATACAGAATGTTGTGAACCACAGTTTTATAACCAATAGAAGCCACATCTGATTTGTGAATGGAGAATAAAATTACACTTACCTAAGGCACGCGTGGAGCTTCGTCGCCTTGGCAACCAGGTCTTCCCACAGAGGCGTTCCATTCTGAAACAGAGGAAAAACAGTGAACGCTGCAACCCCTCAGTGAAAACACAACGGAAGCTTTGTACACGGGCATGAGGCCTGAGGGTGGTCTATCCTGCAGTAGAACCGTTCAGTTTCTTAAGGCGCGTCCACATTACTCGTGCTCGTGCTCGTGTGACTCGCTATGCACCCGAGTAATGTGGACGATATGACAAGTCACGAGACAACCAAATTTAAAATTTTTAATTTAAAAAATATAGCCAATAAATTAAAATACGACTACAGCCTATACACACTACGAGTAAGTATACTGATCCTCACGCGCCGAAGCCTGGCGAGCAACTGAAGTAGTGTGGACGAAGATTTACGGGCACAAGTAAAAGCCAGACGAGTCTCCCGACGAGCACGAGCACGAGTAATGTGGACGCGCCTTTACCCTCCCCAATTGTGTTCAGCATCTCAGGAACTAAAAACCATACACAACTCTATGGAGCCGAGTCCTCCTTGGGAACCCGCAGTTACTGAGCTACTGAAGAATCTCCCAATATTTTACGGGACCCGAAGTTCATTACCGTGTTCACAAGAGCCCTCCACTGATCCCTACCCTGAGCCACATGAATCCAGTCCATGTCACCTCATCCTATTTCCCCAAGATCTATTTTAATATTATCCACCCACATACGTCATAAATAACTCCCCATGGATGAAGATAGCACGCGGTAGCGTAGTTGCTTGAGGCATTATGCTACAAAATGGAAGGTCGCGGGTTCCATTCCCGATGAGGTCAGTGCATTTTTTTTTCGATTGACCTAACCCTTCCAGCCGCACTATGGCCCTGGGGTCGACTCAGCCTCTAACAGAAATGAGTACCACGAATCTTCCTGGGGGTAAAGGGCGGCCGGCGCTAAGGGTGACAACCTCACCGCCATCTGTGAGCCGTCTACAAAATGTGGGAGCCTCGATGTCTCACAACCCTATGGGCCTCCACGGCGTGTTACAGGGATAGCTTTACCTTTCGTTACCTGCGTCATAAAATCATAAAACTATTTTAAAATCCCAGATTGATAGCTCGGTCGGCATAGAGACTGGCTACGGCCGGGAAGGTCAAGGTACGATCATGGAAAAAGGTACAGTTTCCCCTGTCCTTAATTAGTTAAGCATTGTCACGAAGACATATGGGGGGATGGAGGTATAGCTCCACCGGTCTTGACACTGGCACTATATGAAGGTGCTAGGGACAAGATTTTCTCTTCTCCACGCCTTCCAGGCCAGTTCTGGGGCCCAGTTCTATACAGTGGGTCCCGGGGGCTCTTTCCCCAGGGGTAAAGCCGCAGAGGCGTAAACTAACCACTCACCTCCACCTAGTGCCAAGGTCAAGAATAAGTGGATCTATACATCCACTCCATATGCCTTCAGGGCGTAGTGTTTAATTACTTAAGCACAGGGACAACTTCACGTTAATACTATCGTTCATAGACGCTTAGCGAAGGAGGTTGCCGAATTGCGAAGTCGGCCAGTTATGAATGTCCTTCAGGGTTCAGGACGCACTGAGCTTCGTTTCCACGGTCCTTGGCGTGACAAGGTAAAGATAAAGTTGCCTCTGTGCCTAATTAAACCCAAAGTTATGAAGACGTGTAGGGGAATGAAGGTATAGCTCCACGCACTAATCAGAGATGACATGTCAGGTTCGCTACCCCAGCCCCGGCCGCTTTATCCCCGAGGAAACAGCTCCCCCCCCCCAAAGAAAACCCTGGATAGGAGGTTTAGTGGGATTAGAATCGGTCTGGATAAAATCTCTATTCTTGCCAGTAATCGAACCCTGGTTCCTAGCCTAGTTACTGTATTGCCTGAGCTATCCCGTCTCCGTGATATTCCTCTATGTTTCAGGAAGCCGGAGGTTGCGACCTCTCATTAGCGCCGTGGTTTCAAGATGCAACGAGGTGGTCCACGTGACACAGCATTGCGCAGCTGTGACGAACTTGAACTGGCGTTACTAATTGAACCTCTGAACCCAAATATATGCTAGTAGTTGCTACTCCGACCACGGATTCATCCCCATCAGAAACTGTGTCTCTGTTTGTTATCACTGGGAGACGTTTCGGCATGACTTCTTTGCGAACGGTTCAACTCATTAAAACATGGGGGGCGGGGATATCTGTCTGCACGCCTCATCTCCCAATCTTTCAGGTTCTTATAGTTATGAATGCCATTAGCTGGGATGTGACACCGTATAATCTAGTAAAATTCCATGACGTTTCGAAAGAAAGTAGTGCTTTTATTTTCAGGCTAAAGACCAAACAAATAAAGTAACCAGTAAAAATAAGAACGCCAGCAGATCGCTCTGTATTCCTCCGAAACGTCGACAAACTATATAAATAAAAGTTTGATTATAACCAAATTATTATCAGGGGATGTGACAAGAACCTCCCAATCTGGATTACGGATCCCTGAGGATGCGTCGTCATTACTGACACATCATTACGTCATCATTCTATTTTTAACATAAGACTGGGAACCGAAACTACCCTTTCGCAATCTCGCTGAATATTCAGGAGGTTTCTTCCATGAAACTGCTAAAATGTGACGTACCCTCAAGGATGGTTCGGACGGACAACATCAGACTGCAGTTCTACAAAACAGTTCATCATGTAAGATTTGAGGCTTTCACGGCGGTGACTATGAAGAAAGCAGTCTGCTTTTACCGGTTCTCACGGTCTCTTCGCTTTGCAGATTTCTTATATTTTTTCTTCTACCCTGAAGATGGAGGCGATACGTTCCTCCGAAAGGTCGGTTAACACCACATATACACGGTGCCAAATCCCAGAAGACTGCTTTCTTCATAGTTCATCATGTTTCTCGGAATTCAACATGTCCGCGAGCACGAACTAAAGACCCTGGGACCGGATTGCAAAACACAAGCACCGAATTAAAATTATCTGGTTCTGTCCATCGTCCAACGTGAAGAGGTGAAAATAAAGTGAGTCGCGACCTGCACTGATACAGGATCGGCCAAGTCACACCGGGGCAGTAAATCCTAACGGTTGGCAGTGGAAGAACCGGCTCTCGGAACTAAACTGGGGGCCAGTACTTCATCAAGGTCAACACTGAGAATTAACGATTCTGAACCATCTGGAAACGTAAAGATTAAAATATACAAAACCATAATTGGTTTTGTATGGGTGTAAAACTTTCCTCTCTCATCAAGAAAAGAACATACAGTGATGAGCAAGGCCCGGATTTTGATGACATGTCATCTTTTTTCCTTGTATCCTATGCGATGCTCTTAAATATATAAATCTCGGATATGAGCTGCTGGGTACAGAAATGTAAATTGTATAGGTGATTTTTTTGTCATTTTTTGGTTTAAGGTCATTTTTTCATAATTGCATGGAAGCGAAGTGTTCTTTTTTTCTCCTTTAGGTCATTTTTCTGGATTTTTTCGGTCATTTTATAGGTCATTTTTTAATATTTTCAGGTCATCAAAATCAGGGCCCTGCTTATTACATTTTTCGGTCATATTTTGGGTAATTTTTCTGGATTCTTTCGGTCATTTTATAGGTCATTTTTAAAATATTTTCAGGTCATCAAAATCCGGGCCCTGGCGATGAGTGTTTGAGAAGGGGTTGTTGAGGACAATATTTGGATTTAAGGGGGAGCAAGATGCTGGCGAAAACCGCATAGAAATGTGAAATAGTAAAACTGTTCCCGTACTTAATTAATTAAGCACTGTGCCATGAAGACGTATGCGAGAGTGGAGGTACAGCTCCACCATTCTTGATCTTGGTGCTACACTGAGGTGTGGTCAGCTTTACGCCCCCTGCTGCTTTACCTCGGGGGAACAAAGGCCCCGGCACCAACTGGAGAGGAGGCTGGGTGGGCCCCAGAGTCGGTCGGGACCCTGCTGGGAACCGAACCCCGGCCGTATTTGACAGAGGCTTAATGGTAGTAATGTTCGGTGTGTCTGGACACGTGAAATGGCTTGATACGCGTGATGTCAAGGCCGCCGACCTTTGCCCTCAGCCGGGGATGTCAAGACTTGAGCACTCGCTCATGACGGTTCCGCCTTTTTTCTAGGCTACTTCGCTCTGGCTGCTTTGGCAACAGACGCCTGGGCCTGTCTCCTTCAGATGTTCCTACCAAAACTCTGTATGCATTTATGTTCCCTACCGTGCGTGCTGCATGTCCTATCTCATCCTCCGTTTGATCGTTCTAACAATATTTGGTGAGTTCAAATTTTGAATCTCATCTTTATCGCTGAGTCGGTATAGCGACGGGCTACAGGCCCGGGGTTCAAATCCCGACAGGGGCAAGATTTTTCTCTCCTCCATAGCGCCCAGACCGGCTCTGGCACCCACTCTGCCTCCTCTCCAATGCGTAACGAGGGCTCTTTCGCCGGGGGTAAAGCGACCGGGGCGTCAAGCTGACCACTCACAAGAATCGAGTGCCCAGGTCAAGAACGATGGAGCTATATCTCCATTCCCCCATACGTGTCATGGCGTGGTTATTAATTAAGCACAGAGACGAGAAAAATAAGAGGTCAAAGAACAATCTGGAATTATTATTTTGAGGCCGGTACGCGCGCTCATTTGTCTCACATGTGAATGTAAACCATCAATTTCCTNACTGAAGAAAGCAGCCTTCTGGGATGTGGCACCGTGTAGATATTGTGTTAACCGACGTTTCGGAGGAACGTATCCCCTCCATCTTCAGGGTAGAAGAAAGAAGAAGAAACTCTTCGCTTGCGGAATTTATTTGTTCTTCTACCCTGAAAATGGAGGCGATACGTTCCTCCGAAACGTCGGTTAACACAATATCTACACGGTGCCACATCCCAGAAGGCTGCTTTCTTCAGTCACCGCCGTGAAAACTTCAAATCTTACAAGAATTTCCTTGTACAGGACCCACAAATCCGCACTAAGTTGACCCCTCGCTAACGCTTCAGCGTGTGGACTATCGTTACTTGAGGTGTTATCGTGGTTTCCCTCAGTGCCTCCAGGCACTTGCCTGCCATGATCAAATTA